ATAAATTCAGTTGTGGGATCAAATTCCCAAGTCCAACTTTTATGTTGACAATATATCTAATCCATTGTTTTTATACTAAATTCGACTACTGATTTCTCCCAGGTCCTGAACAATAGTGACCTGTCGATCAATACATACACAGGGTTCACAATGAACTTGACTGGTTTATTCGGCAAACTGGGAATGCTGACTCCTGTTAGACACCTGATCCCTACTCTAATGTTCTTAACTGTGTGTTGTTTGCCTTGTTCACGTGTCAGATTGCTGAGATTAATCATTGTTCGTTATCTTCACCTTTTAATAAAGAGATCCATTAATTTGATGGATTTAGAAGGGTTAAAGTGTCCACACAGCAAGTCCTGTGATTTAGTGAACACTGATTGATTTAGGTCTTCATTATTGGTATATCTTCACTTGTTCTACAATATTTCAAAATATTTTCACAATTTGATATAACTAGATTTAGGCGTTTAGTAGTTTTAAGTTACAATAATTTATTTAAATGGCCAAAAAGCAGTTATTATTACAAGGATTGCTAACCTTGATCTGAACAACTCCTACGGTATGCCTATATTTAATAGAGATGTCCTCTATTTCATAGGTATAACTAGTTTATTTGTCCACTAGTCAAAAGGTATAACAAGGTTTTTCTTTTTATCTGTCCTAAGGCATAACTAATAATAGGTGTCCACTATTTCTGAAGCATAAGTAGAATTAGGAGTCCACAAATTTTGAGGTATAACAAGATTTAGCTGTTCACTCGTCTTCATGCATAACTATTAATAAGCCCCCCCCCCCCCCTTTGGTGCAGTGGTTAAAAAGTCTGCTCTAGAGTAATGGAGTAAGGAGTTGATTCTTGTGTTGTGAGTCGGTCCTTTGGATGAGACAATATGAAGAGAGGTTTCGTGTCGAAGAAGGTTTTAATACATACCTGGTAAGGATACCACACTGCTCAATTTCTCTGAGTGCCGAGTATAGGTATAAATTTGCAGCCCTCCACCGGCAAGTGGGGAAGTCTCCATATGTGTGTAAAATTATTGATAGGGACGTTAAAACAACAAACAAACAAACTGATATTAAATGTCCACTATTTCTAAGTTTTAACTAGATTAAACTGTCCGCAAGTCCGAAGGTATAACTTAGATGCAGGTCTCTACTATTTCCTATGCATAACGTTAACAACATTCAGGTGTCTATTAATCCTTAGGCAAAACTTAATAAAGGTGCCCGCTAGTTCTAGGGTATAAGTAAATCTAGGTGTATTCTATAGTTCTGAGGCATATTCAAATACCAATATATGCATCCGTTCGGTTCATGAATACATAAGACTCACAGAGGTCGTGGTTGGTCAACAAGGAATTCTTACTCCTCCTGTGTACCTCATCCCATCTCTGGTATTACCAGGGGTCCTTGTTTATCCTCTTTGTACAGATTTATATTGTTTGAAATTTTTGGGAGATCGATTATTGTATTTTTATACGTGTTCAGTATAGCGAAATTAAGGTCTCAACTAGTCCCTGGGTATTAGTAATCCTAAGGTGTCAGTAGATCTACGCGTTTACTATTCCCAAGGGATAAATATATTTGTGTCATATTACTCTTGTGATGTACCTTGATGTTTTCCACTTATCCCCTGATTCAAGCGCCCCCTAATACCGTGATCTGCCGCATCTCTTACTTTAATGCAACAGATTAAATGTAATTAGATCTTAATATCATTGAAAAAATAAAAAAAATATTTTCCTAATATCACAGTGACAAGGTAAAACCAAAGAAAAGACAAGATACACAATATTTATAATTTTATTGTAAAAGCACAACACTTAAGAACTTTACAGTGTAAATGCGATTTAACAATAGATATATCTTTTAGAAATGGGCTAGTTCAAGTACTCAAAAATAAGAATGTTTTACACAGGTTGACCAAAAAGTCATAGATACTACAAAATCTTTAAAATTCAAAAGGATTCATAAAAAAATTAAATACTTATGTCTCTATCTATTTTGACCTATGCCTTAAAACATTCAGATATAGGCAATACTTTATGAAATAAATGGAGATGACGAACAATATACCAGCTCAAAGTCCATAAACAATACAAAATAGGAGCAAAGCAAACACGGACATGAGAAACATCACATGTGGGATCAGGTGCCATGGAGGAGTGAGCATCCCCTGTCGACCAATCACATCCGCCCGTGTTCTCCTTGTCATAATTAGGAAAATAATGGAAAATCCGTCGACAATTCAGTGTGTAAATAAATAAATGGTCCTACAAATAGTTCGAAAAACGTCAGTCAGCATTTCAATTGTATTTGCTAACAAGGGCATCTTATCCACCATAGAACTTAGGAAATGATGATCTGAACGAGACTGCTAATATACTTGTTTTATCGACTTGTTTGTAAATAATTCACCTCGGTTTAGAAATTGTACATACGTAGAACATCTTTTGTTCATCGAATCAACTGAGACATATAAGCCCAATATGTAGATGATGTGGTGTATAAAACTAAATGTAAAACATGGGATAAAAAAGAATCTCACATAATTTGTAGTTAGATACGAATGTTATCCATCTCGTTATGTTTTTTATCTCCGAGCCTTACACACAACACGTTGGATAAAAAACATATCCAACAAAAAATAATGTGAGATCCTAAATGTATTATATAGTATTCAAATAAACACAACATTGGGTATCGTTTATCGCCACAGGGCAAGACTTTACCGGAATTGTTTTGACGTTTCTCTTCGACACTTATTTTGAATCTGATACATAAGGTAAATGTAGAATCAACATTTGGACAAATTTTAAATAATTTTAATAGTACTACTTAAAACAAGACAATTTAAGAAAATAGGAGCCATTTCAAAACATCTATAGGGATATAAATACTGTTTGGTCATGAGATGAAATCCCATAAAGCCCAAATGTGAATTTGATCTCGTACCGACCTGTATTTATAGCCCGATACAGTCCATTTGTGCCTATTGTTAATGTAAAATGAAAGTAAACTAACATCAAGTTTAAGTTAATTCAATGTTAATTGAGATTGATATTAAATTAATGTTAGGCACAATTTGTGTCTAGATGTTTTAAAATGATACCTTATTACTTATATTTACATTTGTGACTTATTCATATTTTATATTTGCCTGATGATAATTTTACAAAAAATAATGTGTGTTCACTACTAAGCATATAATCAATGATGCTCCTCTCTAACACCATAACCCCTAACCCAGAATCCCTGATTTTCACAATTTTGGTAAAGACAATCTTCCTCATCATAACAATGTACTTAGTTTGTTTAATAGATAAGAGCACAAAAGAAAAGTTTATTAAAATACTTTACTTTCACTTTATAATCAATGGAACCCCCCTTAACCCCTATAATGGGGCCACAAATTGCACAAATTTAGAAAAGGCACTCTTGCTCACCACAACTATGTACCTAGTTTGCTTGAAACATAGGAGTAGAGAAAAAGATTTTGTAAGAAATACTGGATTTTTACAATATGATCTACATAGCCCCGAAACAGCATCAGCACCTGACCGCAGGGCCATGAATTTCATAACTGTAGTAAAGAACTAAGTGCTTACTATAATTACGCCAACAGTTTGACTGTATAAAGTTCCGATGTAAAGAAAAAAAATATTGTATTAAATTTGGTGGGTTTAGTCCTACTTCCCAGGCCCCACGGGGACAGAGATCATAAAACTTATATAGCAAAATTTTTACTCATTGATGCTATATGCCAAAAATGTTTGAAATAGGTTCAGGCAGCAGTTCCAGAGAAGAAGTTGAAAATATTCATATGTTAACACCATACGCACAACTCATTGCACACAACGCATGATGAAGACGAAAATGGATACGAATAAGTCACCTGAGTGACTCAGGTAACCTAAAATGAATTAGTAAAAATGTTTTATCGATTTAACTAACGGAACAATAGGAACATCACACATTTCCATTATTTGGGAATTTGATAGCAATTTGATAGCAAAAAATGGGTTAAAATACTGGCTGTGTTTTCTATGTATTGTATGCGTAGTTCTATTTTCTACTATCCCAAGGGACTACACCTGCGTGCAAATAACCACTAGCCCGACCCCCAAAATGGTAGCTCCAAGGGTTTCGGGTGATGGCACATCCCTGTTTTTTATCAGATGTATGTTGCATCACAATTTTGAAACAATCCCATGCTGACTCCTACTGAGTGTTGACATTTCCAGAATTGCTGATGTGAAAACTGGCTCTACAAGGGACACTTCGTTACATTTTTTTCTCAATAAATATTTTGTGAGGCATGATTTTATGACTATATTAATGAAATGAAAAGAAAAAGAAAAACGTTCACGGAAACGTAATTTTCCGAAAAAAAAGTGTATAGGATCAGGAATTTGGCTGACAAAAATAGGGTCGGTCGGGAAACAGGAAACCTACCTATTGCTTATGCCGAATGCAAAATTAAATTAACAATTTCCGAGATTCGCTATCAAAGTCGGTAAACAGATTCCCATTTTTTAAAAACAACTTATTGTTTTCCCGTCAAGTGAACATTCCTCGGCCTTTTAAATCAGGTCGAGAAAAACTGACGTTATGGTTTTGGTATTAAATTCAAATCAAAAACTTTGCTCAGTCGAGACATTTTAACTAAGCCAATCGTGTATCTTCATCTAAACAGCAGTTTACTTTCATGTAAATTATTTAAATTGATTTGCCAAGAAACATTTCTTAAAAAAAATCATGGTTATATCCTCTGTATGCTTTGATTGGTGATGCATAAACTCTAGTTTTTGTTTTTAACCATGTCATAAAAATAATGAACATGCTTAGATCGATTTTACTCTGAATTATATAAAAAGATTCTTAAATCATAGAATGGTTAATAATATTGAGAAAGAAAGGGAGTCATATAGAAATACAAAAACTCTTGTCTGTAACAAAACTTATCAATTTCCTTGAAAGTATTTCAGGCTTGATGATCATTAACTGTAGTCTCTGTTCCTGATCATCATCCGAGTTTGTTTTAAAGCTTCATTTTCACGTTTCAAGTGCCACCATTTTGCGTAGTGTTGACCAATCAGGGCAGACTGGGCGTACTGCCCGTTAAGGTTGGAGAGATCACAGTTCCTATACCACCAGGCTCCATGTCGTGCTATGGCACAGTTACCATCAATCTTCTTGTCGTTGTCTTGATCCTGAGTGGTGAAGTACATACTGTTGTGATACTTTAAGTCGTCACCTGAAACAGAATATAGTATAATACAGTTAAAGTATGTTATTGAGGGAGTTAGCAAGATTCCAGTTCCCAAAGACCAGGATTGTTTCTGCGCCGAGGGAAAGTCCTGGTAGAGGGGAACTGGAATCTTGCTAATTCGCTTATGGTAATTCCCCCCTCCTTTGATGTCATAGGTTTTTGCAAAAACTTATCAAATTAAATTCATACCCAATAGAACATGATATTTTGGAAGAATGATTTTCCATAGTTGTAATGATAAATATCGTTAAGTAAAACAACAATTATTAGAATAATAATTGTATTTATGTATTGAATGCCATAACTTAGTTGGAGGTTTCCGATAGGATTAATTTTGGAAAAATGTGAAAATTCTTAGATCCACGCCTTGGTTGATGAATTACGTGTGATAGAAGGTGTAAGGTCACGTGGTCAGCTAAGCGAGTCATTTATTTGTATTGTGATAACCCGCATGCTGACCACGCTAAAATGAAGCAAGTCTATTTTGAAGATTTGTTACAACGTCTGTGATTGTTTAACTTAGCTGAACGTGCCCTGGCTTTCTGTCGAGATGAAATTCCAAAGAATTGAAAGGAACAAAATATTGTCCGTGTTATAAAGTTGCCGTTTACAAGAACGTGTGGATTTTCTGGTTTATTGTTTATAGTGATGCGGTGGTACATAATATGTGCGCGGGTTATCATATATATTACCAGATTACTGTATGATACATTTGGTGCAATTTTCTGCCGATATGAACTTTATTTATGAGCAGATATTCATGAGAAGAACATATTTTATGGAGCTACTTTATTGCGACATCATACGTGGAACTTTTTCCTACAGTCTGAGTTTTGAAAGGATTTCAAAGTAAGCTATTTGTTACTGGTTGAACGAAACAAATGGATACCTTTAATGATTATTATCTCTATATCGATCTCCATGATCAGTGGACACAGAGTTTGATCAACAAAAAGTTGTGATAGATAACGAACATCCTGCAAGTATCTGCTGCAAGCATCGCTATTTCACAGCTGGGGCCACAGCGGGAGACCCTGAACCTCAACGACTTGGGCGTTTTAGGTCCAGCCGGCGTACACCTGTGCTGCTTCTCCGCGTGCATAAGAGAGTTTGCCTTCCCGTGTAATTGAGGACGAAGGCCAGTATTATGTTTACTAAATATAAGTGATTTACAATTATACATAACGCGTTTGGGGTTTCCCAAATAGTTTTTCTGTACAAGTTATCACTTTCATTTATTCAAAGGCATTGTTTAATACTCAAATCATAATTATATACTCTATCATGCTCTATGGTGTAAGCTTTTAAGTTAGCAACTTTATGCAAAGTTATTTAGTTTTGTTGAACTACAAGAATTACCTATCATAGTCTGCATATTTCAAGTTTTTGCATTCAACATGATGTAAAACAGCTAGGCAGCATCGTTAAGGCACTGTCCCTCCTTAACAGGCATCTGATAGGTAATGTCAGCTATCTTGTACAGTTAGTTGAGAAATGTGTATTGTAATCATGTTAATACAGGTACCAACATCTCATTTTCACTCTTGGGAGTTTAAGGGTTGTGGACTAAGCTTTATATACATAGTTCAAATAGTTACTATACTGTGGTATTTCTTGAATTGCCCGTTATTGTTTGATCAGTTTTGGTACAAAGTTTATAGGTAACATTTCATGTTTTGTATATTGATAAATATTGAATGAATATTGTACATGTAATATGTAGTCAAAATATATGTACTAAATTGGTTGGTGTAGACAATATTTACATGATTACTCAAGATGTTTATCATTTCGGTACATAGTGGATAATTTATGTACTTATTGGGTTGGTGTTGTTAATGGTTTAAACTGTTGATACAAAGTTGATACTTACAAATTGAATTGGTGTTACTCAAGTGGTTGATTATTTTAGTACATTGTACAAAGTTTATAATTGTGTACTAATGGGATCAGTATTACTCTTTCAAGTTTATGGTTTTGATAAAAAGTTGATATGTAGCTACTTGATCAGTGTTGCTTAAGTTGTTTATTGTTTTGGTACAAGGTTTTACCTATTGAGTCAAAGTTATTCATTGGCATATTAATTGTTTATTGGTTTGGTACACAGTAGATAGGTACTTATCGGGTCAGAGTTACCCATATTGTTTGGTACACAGTAGATATTTACTTATTGGATCATAGTTACCTTTGTTGTTTATTGTCTGGTACACAGTAGATTTGTACCTTTTGGGTCAGTATACCCATATTGTTTTGGTGCACAATATTTGTACTTGTGAGTTAGTATACCCACATTGTTTTGGTACACAGTAGAATGTACCTTTTGGGTCAGTATACCCAAATTTGTTTGGTTTTGGTACACAGTAGATTTGTACCTTCTGGGTCAGTATACCCAAATTTGTTTGGTTTTGGTAAAAAGTAGATTTGTACCTTTTGGGTCAGTATACTCAAATTTGTTTGGTTTTGGTACACAGTAGATTTGTACCTTTTGGGTCAGTATACCCAAATTTGTTTGGTTTTGGTACACAGTAGATTTGTACCTTTTGGGTCAGTATACCCAAATTTGTTTGGTTTTGGTACACAGTAGATTTGTACCTTTTGGGTCAGTATACCCAAATTTGTTTGGTTTTGGTACACAGTAGATTTGTACCTTCTGGGTCAGTATACCCAAATTTGTTTGGTTTTGGTACACAGTAGATTTGTACCTTTTGGGTCAGTATACCCAAATTTGTTTGGTTTTGGTACACAGTAGATTTGTACCTTTTGGGTCAGTATACCCATATTGTTTTGGTACACAGTAGATTTGTACCTTCTGGGTCAGTATACCCATATTGTTTTTTTTTTCTTTTTTTTTGTTGGATGCTCATACTGACAATCAATTGGCGTCGTATGAAGCTTTTCGGTTTATTGTTGGGTCGATGTTACACACATTGTTAATTGTTGGGTCTCAGTTACTTATATTGTTTATTGTTTGGGTCGGAGTTACCCATATTGTTTTATTGTTGGATGCTCATACTGACAATCAATTGGCGTCGTATGAAGCTTTTCGGTTTATTGTTGGGTCGGAGTTACTTATATTGTTTATTGTTTGGGTCGCACTTGTCCATATTGTCTATTGTTGGGTCAGAGTTACCTTTATTGTTTATTGTTGCGTCAGATTTATCCATACTGTTTATGGTTCGGTCGGAATTACCCATGTTGTTTATTTATTGTTGGGTCAGAGTTACTCATATTGTTATCGAAGAGTCGGGTAACCCATATTGTTTATTGTTAGATCACAGTTACCCATATTGTCTATTGTTGGCTGGGAGTTACCCATATTGTTTATTTATTGTTGGGTCAGAGTTTCCTATATTGTTTATTGATGGGTCAGAGTGTCTATTGTTGTCTGCTCATAATGACAATCAATTGACGTCTTATGAAGCATATCTATTCATTGTTGGGTCGGAGTTACCTATGTTGTTGATTATTTACTGCCTCTAATAACAGTCAATTGGCATCTTAGGTAGCATATCATATCTGTTTATGGTTGTGTCAGAATTACCCATATTGTTTTTATTCGCTTATAATGACAATCAACTTGATCAAATGGTGTCTTATGAAGCACATCTGTTGGTTGGGTCAAAGTTACTTATAGTGTTGATTGTTAATTGCTCGTAATAATATTCAAATTGTGTCCTATAAAGCATATCTAACTTTTGGCACGGTTTTTCCTATTGAAGCTAATCTTAATGTTATTAATAGTACATTCATTCTAAAGAAAGTTTCCTTTCTTTTGTTGTTGCATTGTTTGCTCATGTAGACCTAATTTTGCATCCCAGTTTTAAGGTTGTATCCTCCCTTGTGAGCACTTTGTACTTGGATGAGTAATGATAAAAAAATAACTTTAAAGTACATTGTAGATACATCCCGAACAATCGGTGAGAACACAAATCCTCAGGAAAGAATCCTTATAACCCTCAACATAACATTCCACTAATTCCAGTTAAGAGGGAATTGAGATAATCTCCATAGCCTAGGGAACCAAATGAAGCTGTGCCTAATGCCGTGAATTTTATATATTATATCTATATTTAAAAGTTCAAAACTTGGTTGACACTTTTTGACTTTACCATGCAATAACCTTATATAAGATGCAGATACATGTATGTGCCAGCAAAACTGCAGCAGTGCTGCCATGGATGTGCCCTAGAACAGCTGAATGACCAGGATATCCGCTAACATTGGTTGAGAAAGCATCCATACTAGCTATATCTTGAAACTTGGTTTCTTATAAAACATTTGCAGGTGAGTCAGCAAGCAAATTGTATTACAGATTCCAATTATCCACATCACAAATGATCCCCTTTTACAACTGACCTTTTTATTAATAAATTAAGGATAGGATTCTCACTTCTTCAGTTTTAAATACTTATGGGAGGGATATGTCCTTCAACAGGTAAACAATCCACTCTGTATGCTAGGACTATCCAGTCAAAGGAATGAGTAATCTTGTTTGGAATCAAGATTAAAGATGTGACAAATTTGAACATGACAAAATCAGGATTAATGTTCCTTTAATGCAACAAATTAAATAATGTGTCTTTAATAATAAACATAATCTATAGGGAAGGAATTTGTCCTTAAACAAAGTATTCTTACAAATAAAATCATAGGTTACGTATCTTGCAAGAAAATATTTTATCGTTTGTTTAAATAGGCTTTGGTATAGGCTAATTATACCCCTTCAATTAATTACCTCTGTACTATGCCTTTAGTAATAAGATTTTAAGACTTTAAACACCTTTAAGTTTGCTAGTTTAACATTAAGGCGACTTTCCATGCAATCTTATTTTAGGGATATTAGATGCTATTTACAAAATTCAGTATAATCCTGGAAGTTCACATTATATTCACGATTTGCTTAAGATCATAATAATATTAACCTTCACCTTGTAAAACTTATTCATACTGTCTGGAATAACCGCATGGTATGTTCCTCCATTAAA